AACAATAATTAACAATCTAATTCCTTTTATTTAAAAGTAAACATTATTCTGTCATCCGTCCATTATTCAGACAGTCTATCATGTAATAACGTGAGGCACCTCTTTTAGTTGGACAATTAGCAATTTGATTATTAGACTTCATCCATGTTTGATATCTTTCCATCTCCAAATTTAAATGGCACATGGCATTTTTGACAGGCTATAACTTTTCAAAAGATAGTGAATCAAGCATAGAATGTAACCATTCATTATCACAAATTGTCTTGGTACATGCAGCATCTACAATTGCTGCATTCCAATCTTTCATTACCAAAGCATCTTGATTTGATATTTTGTCCAACACTTTACCTTCTGTCATCAAAGTCATATGGAATACCTCTTCTGAATGTTTCTCTATATTGATATTTTCTGTCATATTAACATCTTTGTTAGTATGTGGACAGTCCTTTGCCTAGTGATAGGTTGATTCATAGACATTACATCTTGAAACAACTTCATTAAATCCAGGATTCATTATTCCAAGGCCTCTTCCTTCTACTCCATCCTTTGTATATTGCTCCTCTATACATAAATCCTTTGAATGGTTCCCTGCCTCTACCATAATTTTCTGTTATCATTGCTTCTTCTTTTATGTCCACTTCATTATTTATCCGCATTTCTCTTTTGGCAGTAGTAAATATCCTAGTCAAGATATTTTTCATGGTTTCATACATCATTCGTGGGTATGCTGACAAAGTCAATTGTTTTTATTGTTCACTAAGGTTTACATCGTATAGCAATTTCAGGGCCAATAATGCATCAGTGTCAGTTTTTAAATTGGTACATTTCTTATTTAACTGTTCAAATGCTACTATATAGTGTCACATTGACATTGACTCAGTTTGCTTAAAATTTTCAAATTTTGTATAGGTTTCATACATTTGGTATGACTTTTCCTTTTCAGATAATTTATCCAGTTCTGTTAGAACATTTTTAACATTATCATCAGTCATTAGGAGAGATTTATCTATAGCAGTGGCAATTTTTTGTACTTTTCCAAGGAGAGTTCCAGTTCTATACATTGTCTTGTTTTGTCCATTTCAGTAAACATCTGCGATAATTCAACTTCCAGTTTCTATTGTGAATAATCTTTGTTACCAAATGTGGGTGGTTCTTTGTAACTAGTCATCTTTAATGCTTTGCTACCATTGATAAGAGTACAGGTTTGGTTTAAAATATCTGTAATTCCTTGAGGTAAATCAAAGAGAGAAATCACAGCAGTTTAAATAGTATCTAATGGTCCAATCCACCCTGGGCAGAAGGAGACACAAGTCTATGCTCCTGCTGCTACCACTTGCTGATAAGAACAGTCCATTAAGTTGGGGAAGGCGGTAATAACTTGTTATACCAATTACAATAAACATTACTTAGCAATAATAATTACAACTATTATAAAAATAATAGTAGCTGACCCCTTGGTTGTTTTCATTTAGTGGCATATCAACCTTTATGTTTTGTACCCAATTCTATTTCTTTTTGGGGAGGAGATAATAATGGTTTTAGTGATACAAGTCTTACTATTTAACCCATATCTGGTGGGAGAAGAGGTGGATTCATACCTTTCCTAAGGGTATTTGTGCATAAAGTGAATATTATGAACCCAACTGGAATTGGAACTTGGCTCTCTGATTAACAATCTATTACACCGACCACATGTCCAAGCTTGCATCACCTGGTATTCCCAAGCAGTACTGACCAAACTCTAGATTGCTTAACTTCGTTGATCAGGTGGGAACTTGTGTTTCAATATGATGGGGCTGTAAGCCCTGGAAAGTTAATACAAATTACTTAGTATTCTGAAGTTGTATGACATCCTGAGGAGACAGATAAAAATATTACAGTGACATACATAAAAATGGTTAGGGCTTCTTTTGAAATCCAAGTTGAGTGCTCATAATCATTAATGTTTAATTTTTTTATGGCTTATCAACCTTTTGCAGAGTATTTAAGGCCAGGAAATATTTTTGGATTGTAAGAATTTTTTGGAGATAATAATGATTTACTAATAAAATCATACTATTTAACACATAGTTTGGGGGGAGAAGTGGTGCATTTATACGTTTCTGAAGAACATTTGTATGCTAGTGAATATGATGAAGCTGACTGCGATTAGAATTTGGCTCTCCAATTGCCAGTCATTATCCATTACACAAACTGCATATTCAAGTTTAAAGCACTCGGTATTTTCAATCTCAGTATTGACCAGGCTCAACCTTGGTGAACTGATGTTTCAACATGATATGGCTGTTAATATCTGAGCTGTATCTGTGGTATGATAGTCGGATGAAGAGTTCATAGGCTGACCATATTATTCTCATGGAATATAAACAAATGAGGTTTATTTTTCAACATAGTCCCCCTTGTGATCCACGCACTTCATGCATCCATCATCCTATTAGTGTTTCATCTTGTTTGATATGATCCATGATCTCTGTGGTATTAAGTGTTTCTTTGAAGAAGTCATCTTGTTGGTTATCAAAAAACCAGATATGATAACATTTGACCTTGTAGTCTTTTTTTAACAGTTTCCTCTCCATGTCCCTTTTGAAGATGTTTCCATTTGATCTAAAAAAAACCATCAGTCATGGACAGGACTTGTATACTGGGGGATTATTCTAATGATGAAACCAGATCCAAACACTTGCAATCGTTTAAGTTTTCTGCCTGAAACATTTGTCCTGTGATTAAATCAGTCTTTTTTTTGTCAGATGTCAGAAGACATGTCTCATCTTGGTAGACAACTTTCAGCAACTTTGCATAGTTCTCTCCATTGATAGTGTGACCCTTTTGAAGATAGTCAATAAACAATGCCATTTGCATCAAAAAAAAAAAAAACTGAAACCATCACATTCCTTCAAGATGAATTGACCTTAACTTTCTTTGGAGCAGGTGAGAAAGGGTCTTGTGGTGTGCTTCTGGTCAGGTGTCAGAAGACATGGCACCCACCAAGAAGAAACCTTTGTCATGCCAAATTCATTGTGCAGAATGTTCTCAACTTTCTTATGAGATATGTTAATAGCATTGGCTATTTCATTAATAGTCAATCACTTGTCATCCATCAACATGCAGTGAACTCAACCAATGTTTTTCTCAGTGGTGGTAGTTACAGGATGTCCAGACCTTGGGTCATCTTAAAGACTCTCTGTTCGCCTCTGAAATTCAGCTGCCTACTTTTGCACTGTCGATGAAGCTGGCGCATCATCCTTTAATGTAGCAACCATGTCAGCATAAATGTCTTTGCAGACTAAACCCTTTTTCTGCAGGTACTTGAGAGCACCATAATGCCATATTTTGTTTCTTTTCAAGAACAGTTGCTACGAGTCAAAGTCTTCTTTGAACAGTAAGATGTCAGTTTAACTGGAAAGAAACCATGCAGTCATTAAAAAAAGAACCAAAATTAATGCATGCAAGATTTCACAGCTCTAGCATCACTGCTTCAGAGTCAGCCTATGAGCTTTTCAACACAACCTCAGAAGGTATAGTGAAGGAGTGATGAGGTGGACAAATTTTGGACTGAAATACTGATTTTTGAGAAATGTTAAATGTTGTAAGATTATGTCCACCATGAAAAGAAGGTGGTTGAGAGCTTGAAGAGTTTGTAGCAAGTGCATGTAGGTCATTGGAACAGCATTGGAGCCTACACTGCTGAACTTTGAGAAAATTGGAATAAAGTCTAGTATACTATTACTTTGGTTGGTACTGCAAATATTCTGTGAAATGTGCTCATTGTCTGAGAACGCCCATAATTCAAGATCTCTGGTTAAAATGAAAACTTATGTGGAAGAAGAACAATAATAATAATAATAATAGTAAGAAAACTTCCAAATAAATTTGAATGTGCTTTCCTTATCCTTGAGAGACTGAGATAACATCTTACTGTTTAGGCTATGAAAGCTCAACTTGTAGGCATCAGTTAGATGAAGCCATATGGCTACATACTTCATGATTTATTTTGAAAAATTTTATGATTATTTTCCTCTCGCGCCTGAAGGTGAGAATATATAATTTATGTTTTACTCAATTTTTAAACATATTCACATGCCTCCATGTCTGTGTGTCCCTAAAAATCTGTAAACATAAAAATCATGAACCAAATATAATATGAAGATTGTAAACACAAAAAAATAGCAAAAATGATAAACACCTAATAAAAATAAAAACAATAGTAAAAATATAATTAAGAAATATTTTAAAATTAGTAATAAAGTTGTATAAAAAATTAAAAATATCCAATAAAAACCTAATGAAAATAATAAAAACTTATTTAAAAAATAATAAAATTCTAAAAAAAAAAATAATAATAATAAAGTCTTAAACATCAGAAAGAGGCAGTTGAAATTTCTATGGCACATAATGAGGAAAGCAGGTTTAGAAAATTGGATACTCACAGGACATACTGAGGGACAGAGGAAAACAATGCATTACTTATCTAACAAGTTTGAGTAAACAGATGGCAGAAAAGGGTCTAAGAGAGATAAGAAAATGAGAAAATTTATTAAGGACTACAAAGGACAAGAAATTGTGGAGAGCCACAATCGCCAACGTCCTGAAGGGACACAGCACATAGAAGAAGTAGATGAATAAAAAAAATATTAAAAATTTTGAAAAATAAAAAATCTTAGAAAACTAGTAACAAAAATCAAATAAAAATTAAAAAAAGGTCATAAAATAATACAAAATAAAAAAAATTATAAAAATCTTATAAAAATTGTTGATAATAAATCCTAATAAAAAAGTAAGAAAGCTAATAAAAATAATAAAAAATGATAAAAATATAATAAAAAATAACAAACGATAAATCATAATAAAATAAAAATTATTGAATAAAAACCCCAAAATAATAAAAAGAAAAACATAATAAAAAGTTAAAAAAAAAAAAAGAAAAAACGTGTTATTAATTTTAAAAAAAAATCAAAAGTAAGAAAGAAAATCTCTTTTTCTTCATTTGATTGCAAACTTACTTTTTCCAGTTCTTCGGAATAAGGCGTTTATTTCCTTCTGCTCATATGTCAAAGAACTGACAACATAAATAACTGCTTCTGATTCGTCATACAGCGCTGTCTCTTTAAATATGATCTTTTGGTGTGACAGTTCCAAGGGTGGCCGGACACCGATTCCTTTGCCCTGAAGACAGAAATTCCTGCACAACCAGGACAAAAAGATAAGAGAGAATAAGAAAAAAAAAAAAAAAACTCAAGCATTTAAAATAAAAGAAAGGTAAAAACAGCACAAACAAAAACAAAGCAAATAATTATGTATGAAAGGAATGGAACAAAGAGTGACATGCCAATGAATGCAGATATTGGAAATCTATACAAAGCATGCAGTCTATTTTTCACTGAGGTCGGTGGAGAAATGCTTTTGAAATTTGTTCATTTCCTGAATTCATGCCACACTGCATCTCACTCATCTATCGTTTGCTCTTCCTCCTATTATCACACGTTTATTCCCTGCTATGACAAAAAAAGCTCAGCATAAAATAACTGCTCAAAATTTCCAAACCTTTAGGAATACAACAAGTAAGAATACAGTTAAACCTATTTTTCTGTCTGCAGCAAAAAAAGGTGCAGCTGTTTGGGGTACCAGTTTTACTCTGTCTTCTTTTAAATCCCAACTGGTAAGACTACTGTGAAACTCCACACACACAAAGCATGACCACTTGACTCATCGGCTTCTGCTACCTGTCTCCAACCAGAACCCCAACATTAATATGGTGCCTGTTGCTTACACCGTGTTTAACAAGTCTGACCACACAGCACCTCATCATTAAGAATGAACATGTCCACTTCTTTCCTCTTCCAGGAGTGACAAAGTGTTATGCTAACAAGTGACCATGAGCAACCTGTGTCCACTCTTGATCAGATTGATGCATACAGTATTCGCAGGACTTACCTCATTCAGATGAGGGGTGTGGTTAGAGATGGGCAGCCGAGGCCCACGAGTTGAGTGGTCATCCTTTGTGTGTGGAGTTTTGTAGTAGTTTTACTGATTGTGATTGAAAAGAAAACAGGATACAAATTGTTGAGGGGTCCTCCCCTTTTTACACAAATAGACTCACCCAGTATATACATATACTACTGCTATGTGAAGTTCAGAGTGACAGAGTAAAAGGTTATAGGTAACCGGAAGAGTGAGGGTGAGGGAACAGCATTGTAGGAGTCACAGTGAGCGAGCACGTAGACTCAGTAAGAAGTCATACAGCGATACTTCAATACCAAAGACTGTATATATATTTTGCTACTAACCCGTATTCCTGGAACTACTAACCTGCTTTACCAGTTTGTATTATTACGTTAATACATTATTTTCCTATATTCATTCTTGGCGTTTGTTATTTATTGGTACCGGATTTCATCCCGGAATCCACAACACAAATGTTACTCAAAAAAGGCCGTAACTTTTTTGCTAGAAGCAATTTTGAACATATTTTCTTTCACATATTTTGCATGCAAGACCTGTATGAGTGCGCTGTGTTCCAGGAGGTCAATTGCTTTCTCTTCTACACTGTCAACCAAGTTAAATTCTCTGATGTTGCAAGCAGATAGTTATTTCTTTTTCTAAATTCACACACACACACACACATATATATATATATATATATATATATATATATATATATATATATATGAAAAAATATACAGAAATATATACAGAAAATATACAGAAAAAACAAACAAAAATCCTAATATGCAATTATGCTGTTTTAATGTTAATATAATGCCAACGTTGAACGTTTCGGTCTAATAGACCATCTTCAGGACATATTCATAAAACATAATTAACATTAGACTATATTCAATTCAACATGAAAAAGACGATGGACACAATGGACACAAGAGCAAGACTAATCCAAACATTCCGTATATTTTTCTTCATACTGTCGGATCTATATCCATATATTTGCTTATATATATATATATATTACTGAAGATGATGAGACAAAGTCAAACATTTTTAGTTTGACCGAAAGAAAGATAAAACTCCGTGTGTGCGTTGGGGTGGGTGTCTTGGGATCTGTGAGGATAAATGATATCATAAATCAAATTAATTACCCTAGCTTATCACCCCCTGAGTTCAGACTGGAACAGAATCTGTCTGCCTTTGTTTTATCTATATCTGTAATGTTATCCAACAAATGCACAAATATATTACTACAAACGTTATTCCAAAAGTCCTTCTGTATGGGGGAATTGATCAGCAACATGAGGACAACATCATCTTCAGTTCAAGGATGTCTGTAGAAAGGACATGAGAGCAGAGGAGCTGCAACAAGGCAACATCAGGAGAGAGTGTCTTCACATGCAGTGATTGGAATTGAAACTGTTACTCCCATCTGGGACAGGTCCAGAGTCTCTCAAGCAGATGCCACACTTTATTCTAGTTTGGTTTATTTTGTTTTGCAGCATATCAACACCTTAATGGGTTATTTAATCCCAACAAGCTTTTAGGATAGGTTTGTTTGAATAGAATATATGTTCTCTGTGAAAAATCAGTTTGTAGATCAGGTTTCACTGACATATTTTTTGTTAGTTTATGTATTGCTGGCAATATTTTTTTTTCAAAAATGTATTTCTGATATTTTTACTATAAAAATCTATTTTTATATTTTCATAATGTTTTGACGCCAGTTTGGGGGTTAACTATTTGCCCATAGCTGGGACCCTAACAGGTGCTACCACCCTGGGTCAGTGTGAACAAAGAAACAACAGCAATTAAGAAGTGGTTCCATGCTCCTTAAAACCTCCTGATCAGAGACCTTGCTGCCAGATGTAGTTTATACAGGATGATTCGATTCTAGGAGATACTTCATTTGAAGTAATGAAAATGTTGGATTAAAAATAGTTCCATATTAAACCAACAGAGAAGAACAGTAAAATATTTCTTCTTCTATGTGCTGCGTCCTTTCAGGACATTGGGGATCATAGCTCTCCACAATTCTCTGTGCTTCATAACTCTTAACAAATTGTCTTTTATTGTGATCTCTCCTAAACCCTGTTCTGCCATACATTTAGTCAAGCTCACTAATTAGGTTATGTGATATTTTCCTCTGTGCCATTTGTCTTCAATCTATCAGATTATTCAAGCTCTTTTTCCTCATCATGTGCCCTAGAAGTTTAAACTATTTCTTCCTGATGCTAAATATAAGTTTTCTTTTTGTTTCCATTTCCTGTACAACTGCATCATTGATCCCATCCAGCATTTACTGCCATACTGGAGGACTGATATCACATAACATTTCAGTACTCTTTTCTTAGTTTCAAAAAAAAAAAAAAATTTCTATATTTTAATATTTTGCTGATCTTTTGAAAATACTTTCTCAAAGCACCTTTTGGATTCTGTTTTGCACTTTCTGTCCTTTGTTAAAGCACAGATATTTAAATTGTTGCAACTGTTTAATTTTGGTTTCTCCAATTTGTAATTTGCATTTTGGAAAGTTGCTAACTTAAAAAGTAAATCTTACTAATTATAAAACGCAGATTGTGTGTGTGTGTGTGTCTGTACATTTATATATTGGATCGGATTTCCTATATTTTTCAACCAATTTCAACAAAACTTCACCGGATTGCATAAAATTACCTTGTGGTGGTTCTGACAGTGCCAAAAATTGGAAAAACACAATTGTTTTTGCACGAAATCAATTTGAAAACACGATTAAGAGGCATCACGAGAATGAAAGGGGGACAACTCATATCAAGTTATACTTATTATAAAATCCAGGTTGTTTGTGTGTGTGTATGTGTGTGTGTGTGTGTGTGTTTGCGTATGTTCCTTTATATATGGGATCAGATTTTCTACATTTTTCAACCAATTTCAACAAAACTTCACTTTTTTTTGGCAGGTAGTGTTTCTTATTGTCTTGCACACTTTTTTCTTTATTTTGACATTCCAAATGCTTTAAAAATTCCATTTACAAGACAATTGTTTATAATAAAATTCTATTCAATCGATAGACTCATAATGATTGAAAACAATGTTTCTGTTTGAGTTTGGGTTTGAAAAAAATAACAAAAAAAAAAACTAATTAAGACATGCGTGTCCGTCAACCTTAAACAATAATCTTTGTCAATTTTATTTTTCAGTCTTTATGATGGTCGATACTTGATCTATCTCTTACTGTTACATCCCCAGGCAACGCCAAGCTCTACTGCTAGTATATTAATAAAAAAGAAAAACAGTGTAGCTGGTTTTGTCGTTTTTCTCTCATCAGAGCCCAAAACTGAGGACAAGAAATATGCGTAGTGACCAAATATTATAAGATAAATATATAAACCTCAACGGTTAGTTATAGTTAAACCTAAAATCCACTACTCCTGCTTACAGAGGGATGTCTGGAGGACTAAACATAAAAATGATTCTAGAACCATAAGGTGAACATTAGAGTGAGTGTTTCTAAGATTAATCAGTATATACCTGCAAATAATGAAAGGTAATTTGAACAATTTACATCGTCACTGTGACTTTAATTTTCACTCTATCTTCTGACAATTCAGTTTCCATTAAGGAACCTGCCTTAACTTAATAAGACACAGAGTAAGTTTTTAACATAAGAGTTTTTAGAATATTTTACAGTGTTCTCAAATTCAAAATTTGAAAACTTAATTTTATTTTTCTCCACATTAATTCCATCTATAAATAGAGGTTACTACATAAAATTTCTACACTTGCCTTCATTAAGTTCTTCAATGTAATGCACTGGCATAAAAGGTTTTCCTTGTGTCATTTTTTTTATATATATGATAAACATATAGTTTTAAGGTATGCTATATTTATGGTTAAAGTGCTCAATATCAAAGACAGAGCATATATAAATATAAAAGTGACAATCAAGGTCAACACCTAGCAGTGACAATCTGTATCATGCTTGACGGACTGTCACCACTTGGTTTCAACCTCAGTGTACATTTATATATATTAGGATAAAGAATAAATTGGCAAAATATGTTAAAGTAAATACTTAGCATAAACCACAGGTAGACTCAGCGGGCTGGTTGATGTGCATATGTATATATCCAGAGTATGATGGAGAAATTGTTACCATTTTATATTTTTAATTTCATGCATGCACGTTGTTTGCTTTTGATTTTGTTGACTGCACAGTATAGTAGGGTCAGTTGGGCACCGTCTGTGAGAAAAAGGGCA